CATATGAATTCCCCACATGCTGGAACTGCCAAGAGCAGAACCTGGTTGCATGCCAATATTTAAATGGGGAGGTGACATCCTGACAGGATGACCCTGTAGCAGTAGATGGCACACAGGTAAATGAACAAGAGAAGCAGATAGCCAGCTAAGCTTTGTGGAATATCCATGGGAGGTCTTGATCAACATTGTTTTCCAGATAGGAATTCATCTAAGCAAACTCATCCTGCATCTCAGTAAACCTGCTGCCAAAAGTTTAATAATAGGTATTAAAACATGAGAATATTCACAAGATATTCATTTGTGGATCCAAGTCACTTTAATATGAAGTAAATTATTCCAAAGCCTATTCAAGTATGGACAAGTCTTCAAAGCACAAAGCAGTCTGACCTAAAAACTAGGAGTCCACACTCATTCTGTGCCCCCTTCACCTCAAAAAAAACCCCAAACCCAAACCCACTCCAAAATAAACAATGAAAAAGAAGCCAGAAATGGGAAGCAGAGGCAACAACAGAATGAGCGATGACAATGGAGATTGTTAAATATTATGTTGCACCCAAAACTATGCCTCTACAGTTGTCCTCACCTTCATCAATCAATAACATTAATATGAAACTACTAGATTTTGGATTTCTTCAACTTCTGCACTTCATCACTTTTATCCATCTCCCTGTCCTGCTTTTTAGTCAGTCTTTTTTCCCTTTTTATGTCTGCTCTTCTTTGCTTCTAGATCCTCCTTTTGTTTTTTCCAGCAATTGTCTTCCTCCTGCTATTCATTCCTGAGAGCTTCTGTTCTGTTTTCTTCCTCCTTGGTTGTTTCTGCATTCTGCTCCCCTTTTTTGCTTCTGTTCACCACACTCAGGGTGATCCTTTGGTTATCTTTTTTTCTTTCTTTGCTCCACAAATAATCCTATTAAAGTTAGGATAACAAAAACTAAAATAACTTGACTGTAACTTTGTATTTTTTGTATTTTTTGTAATCACTAAAGATTTCAATGAGTTTTATACAGTCTTGCATAGCTAATGCTTGTAAATAGTTGCAATTTCCCTGTATCTCTCTAAATTACTGATGTGTCAGTTTAACCTTCACTCCACTGAATGACATTTATCTGAGAATTTTCTTGCTTTTTAAATGACATATTTCACAAACAAAACACACAAATGTTCTTGTACATTTTTTTTACTGACTTGAAAATATGAAGTATCAGTCTCAAATGGTTTTCTCATTTTTAGCTTTTATGGCTAGATTGGCCACTAGACTGTTATCCTGCCCTGGAGCAGCCCAAAGCAGACAGAACATACAAGCCAGTTAAAGTGAGTTCACAGCTGCTTTCTCTTGCTAGAGCAATGCAAAACAACCATAGTGTACAACTGTTTCACATTCCCTCTGTCCTCCAAATTCCCCATGTCCCTTATACCTCCATCTGTCACTCTCTACACAAAAATGCTAATCTTACTCTTTCCCTATCTCCTAGCCTGTTAAGCAGATTTGATGCCATGAATAGCTTAGGAAAAGACATATAGAATTAATAACCATCTTTCCATTATTTTCGTAATAGAAACTTCATTTCATGAAAATTCAGTCCCATCTGAAAATGGTACCATTTCATGATAATTGCAGTGGGACTGAAGGCACAGCAGCCCTTGAGGAAAACTGTGTCCCCTTTTGCTGAAAGGGAGAGATACACTAAAAACACGGATATCACCCATTTAGAACAAAGATACCATACCTTTCTCAAAATGCCCACTGACTGAGTGCAACTATAGTATCCACCCTACTCAGAAGAACAGAAGATAGCAGACCTTTTGAGAGGGCAGTTCCTATAATAGACCTCTACTGAAATTTTACTTTTAAAGAACAGTAGGTAACAGGTTGCTATTCATCCTGAATATGCTTTTTAAGTGTGGTCTATGCATAAAATTTCAGACAGTTTTAAATACATAGGGAATTGGAAATGTCTGTGTTCCTTTCCAACTCCTTTGACTTCAAAGAGAATTTTGCTTAAATAAAGACTGCAGGTTTCGGTCATATGGAAAGCTCTCTTCATCTGAAACAGGAGAACATTGGTATTCATGATATAGACACTAGTCCAGGAAAAGGAAGTTGATATAAATCTAAAGCAACAAATTAATTAATGTATACAAAGACTTTGGCCAGGACATTGTTGCAACATCCAATGTTCACACAATGCTTAAGGTGCTCACAAGATACCGTATGAGGAAGCTGATTCCAAACTGTATTGCCAAAGGGGAGCCCTACCCAGACTCACTAGCTGGGAAGCTTAGTCCTTAAAGCCACAAGTCTCCAATACCACAACTGGGAGCCATTACCCCTACTCCTAAAACAGTACTAACCATTTCAGGAAGGAAGTTCGTTTTATTTGTAGATCTCCTATCTAATCAAGCTTAAATCTCATAAAGAAATTTAAGCTTGGTTAGATCCCAAACTTTGGTATGCAAGACATCTCTGGGAGGTACACAGGAGAAATTGTGTAATGGTGAATTTAATTTTTATTATAATAATTGGCACTTACAGGGTTAAAATACAAAACATGCTGGTAGGAGTATGTAGGCAGCTGGTAAATCTGGAAGGAGGGACACAATAAGAAAGAGTTTGGGAACCTCTGCATTAGATAATTCAAAATGCAAAGTACAAACCCCCCCCAACCTTCCCCCAACAATTTTAACCATTTTTATAGTTTTATAACTCCATATACAATGTTCAGCACCTAGTGACTAGGTAATGAATGCACTAGAGATAGATACTGCACATAGCGTTGCCAAGATATAATTATTTTTAGTGTTGCCAATTTAAAGTAAAAATGATCAGTCAAAACCAGGTATGCTGGGATGGAGATGCATTTCCTGATGATAATGCTTTATGTTCAGTCCGCATGCATGATGTCATCACATCCTACTTAAACACCTGTCAACTGGAAACATTCCACAAGACTCCCTACAAATGGTATAATGCTTAGGAGCCCCATAATGCTATGGAGCCACTGTGAATTTTTTAATAGATTTTTTACAGGCCAGAAAAAAAACAATACAAGCAGGTAGAATAGGATTCTCCCACAAATGGCCCATGGGCCACATGCAGCCTGTGAGTCTTGTTAATGCAGCTGCCAAAACCACTGTGCTGACATAGCTCCAGAACACCAGAGCTGAACGATGACAATGCTTGTGGCAGAAAGCCACCTTGGTTTCTCCCCAGAAATCT